CGGCGACCTCCCAGAGGGCCTTTTCTATTGTCGCTCCCAGACTCTGGAGTGACCTGCCGGATGAGATCCGTCAATTAACATCTTTAAACAGCTTTAAAAAGGCTGTTAAGACGGATCTCTTCCGGCAGGCCTTTCCGGACTAGATAACTAGCCCAGGGACCCTCCGAAGTTGGGCACTTTATAGTGCCTTTTTTTCCCCCCCTCAAGTAGATCTGCGGGGGATTGTTGTATCATGGACTGCTGTATCGCTTGCTGTGCTGTGTGTTGTAGTTGATGCTGTTATATATATTTGGTTTTAGTTTAAGTACTGCTTAACTGCAGTTGTTTTAATTGTACTTGATTTAATAATGTTTTAAGGGGGGGGGTGGAGGGATGTTGCTGTTTTAACTTGTTGTAATTTACAATTTTTATTGTTCACCGCCTAGATTGGTTTTCCACTAGGGCGGTATACAAATAAAATATATTATTATTATTATTATGGTGGCATGGAGGTGTGGGGGGTATATATACTGTGTAACCTCTTGTTATCCTCCCACCCAGAGGCCTTGCCTCAGCAAAACAATACACAGATTTTCATGCTAATCCACTCAACCAAGGGTAACACAATATATATACCCCACACACCTCCATGCCACCATTCTCTGAAGATGCCAGCCACAGATGCAGGTGAAATGTCAGGAATACATTCTTCCAGAGCATGGCCTCACAGTCCAAAACCCCCACAAAAACCTAAGGACCCCTTTGTAGTTTTCTTTTTGGCTGTCCACTGTTGCCTCAGCACTCTTCTCCAGCACCAACTTTCAAATGAGTTAAATTTCTTCAACTGTCACACCCATACATTGTGATGGGGAATACCATGGCTTGGACAATTCAGACTTTAGTGCTTAGTTGTATATCTTTACATTTTACGATCTTGTCCAGTTGCCTTTCCTATTCCTAATTGTCTTCTGATTTCTTGACTACAGTCTCCATTCTGACCAATGTTTGATCCGAGGTTCGGGAACTCATTAACTATTTTGGTTTCCTCATTGTCTACACTGAATTGATGTATTTCCTCCGTGGTCATTATTTTTGTTTTCTTTACACACACTCTCTCTTTCTCTGAGAGAGTTGTGGAGTCTCTTTCTTTGGAGGTTTTTAAACAGAAGCTGGGTGGCCAACTGTCACCGGGGGTGCTTTGATTGTGAGTTCCTGCATGGCAGAATGGGGTTGGACTGGATGGCCCCTTGGGGTCTCTTCCAACTCTATGTTTCTGTGACAGTAACTCAGGGCAGTAAGTGGCAATGAAAGCAGCAACGCTCCTGACCATGAGGAGGGGGACTCTTTGTGTTAGGAAAGAGAAGGGCAAGAACAAGCTGTTTTGGGCACTGAGTGCAGAAGTTACCATTGAGTGTCATGGTGGCAGCATTCCCTGGTTGGAAAGGCCAGTGCCAGGAGAAAAGAAGGGAGAAGGGACCATTCCTTTTGCCAACTTCTTCAGCAACTTCGTCCTGTGTGCCTTTGAGCATTCAAAACAGAAAGGCCTGGGATGCTATATTGTTTTAATGTATTTGAAACACTTTTATCCTCTTAAAGCAGGGGGAGGCAACCTTTCCCCTTTAAGGGCAGAGGGACTTCAGCTCCCAGGAGCTATTGGCCAACATGGGACTATTGGCCAACATGGCTGAGGCTTCTGGGAGCTGAAGTCCCTTGGCCCTTAAAAGGGAAAGGCTGCCTACCCCTGTCTTAAAGTATTTGATATTTTGGCATGTAATTTGTTTTAATTATTGCAGTGATTTAATTCTGTTTCAATGTAATATTTCTGTATAGTTTTTAAATCGTATTTTTTTAATGTTGTAAGCTGCCCTGAGTCCCAGTCCTGGGAGAATGGCAGGATATAAATAAAATTAATAATAACAACAATAACAACAGTTAGGGCGACCCTAAAGCGAACCTATGTACAGACTGCCAGAAATAATCCAGTCTGAGACCACTTTAAGTGCCCTGGGTAAATGCTAGGGAATCATGGGAACTGTAGTTTATTGTGGCACCAGAGCTCTCTGACAGAAAGTCTCAATTTCTCAGAAAAAACTACAGTTCCCATCAGTCCCTAGCATTGAGCCAAGACAGTTGAAGTGGTCTCAAGCTAGATTATTTCTGGCAGTCTGTTCAGGCCCAGAGTTTCCTAAGTAAAATGTGTTCAGTGGTGGTTTGCCATGGCCTTCCCCTGAGGCTGAGAGAGTGTGACTTGCCCAA